ATTTTCATACACTTCATAGCTCCTATTTTGACTTTATATGGTTGGTTGGTGGAGAAATTAACGAAGAAACCTGCGTGTGTCGGCTTTCTGTATACGTCTCTACCTAACTTATTATCTTCTTTGCTCAATATCACATACAAAAATGGCAATTTATTTACCTTTTCCAACCCCATGCTAAGTTTTGTATTTGCATCTATTCTATTTATTAGCTCAAAGAAAGCGCCAAATTATCTGTACTGTATTGCCAAACAGGCAAGCTGCGACGTTGAGCGACGGGACGAAGCGTCGTGCTGGCACAGAGTTGCGATTGTCACACAAAGTGGCAAATCACACCGGCCAACAGACACAGCGGCTGTTGTAGCCTCGGTTGCCACGCCAATGCTGTACAGGTTGTTTGTCCATTTCGATGCCACGAGATGGACTGAACCCCAACTGACCAAGCCCCATCTACGAGAGCAAAAAAGACATCTTCGCGTGGCAAGGACTCACCTTCTTCTCTCGATATTGTATGGCCAGTTTGAAGGTGTGCAACGGCAGCTTCTCCTGTCGGCTGAGTCTCGGCTCGGAGCCGGCCAGAAGCGAATGTACCTCGTCCGACGTCCGGCAGAGGTCGATGCAGCTGACCGCAAAGTCCATGCACTGGCAGGCCAGGCTGGAGTACTCCTCCTGCGATAAAAGCAAAGCAGATGACACTCATGTCGTCATGGCAACAGAATACATTGTACAGCAGTTTGTGTGTGAAAGGGTGTAAATATGTGACCTTGCATGGGAATGGAAGTTGGGAAAATACGCTGATAAACTTGCCCGGTTTTGGTATCATATTGCTCCCGCTACCAGATGGATAAAGAGAAGCTGTACCTTGCGGTATGCCTTAATAGATTGATACTAACATACATTTCATGTCGTTTGAAAAGACGCGGGCCGAAGGAGGGTTATCGTTGACTCGTGACTGTTGGTTTGTGCAAAACAGACCTCGACTCGTCGTCTTCTGATCCCGATCCAGTCGTGAGGAGGCATTATTGACAGACAACCGGCAACAAACACCAAAGCAAAATGGTGACCGGCTGAAATGCTACATACTTTCATACCCCACTTTGCCATCGTGAAGAGGCACTGCATGATTCGCTTGGCTACTGCATGCCTGCCCCACTCGCGTGAAGACGAGTTTTCATTGTAACCTAGTCTGTTTGTCACATTTCCAGTCGGCAAATGAGTGACTTGCATGAGATGAATTCATTTTATTCTTGAGTGAGTAGGGTTTCGAGACTACCAGTAAATCTGTGTAATGAGATGCATTCACCCTATTTTGTGTAAGGTGATGAAGGACTGGTAGTAGAATTTTCCCACAATAATACGAGTTGAGCTGACGTTTCCATTC